TAGTTTCAGTTGTGAGCCACCGCTTTCAGTATACCATTAGTGGGGATTAGCTGCTGTTCTGGTCCGAGTTATTTGTCTGAGTCATGTTGATGTCGTTTTGTTTTTGAAGTGGAAGTGCGTGCGTATGATGTCATCCCGTGCGTGTGCATGCGCGTGTGAAATGATGTCCCTGCTCTGTCCGCCGGGTGTTGATCCCCTTATCGATTGGTGAAATCAAAGATGCCCTTGTGCTTGTGTAGCGGTGTGACGTTTCTGCACTGAATGTTTAAGCTCCCCTCTCGTTTTGATACGGGATGTAGCTTATTGGTGGACGGAAAGTTAAGCGCTCCAAAGTGTGAAAAATGTAAATGAATTGCAAAGAGAAGCGTTTCGGGACAGCGATATGATGATGCAACTCCCCGCACTACATAAAAGTCGAAAAAAAAAACCACCACACGGGACAATGAGCTTGAATTTCACAGGGATGTCTGAGATCGGCGCTACAGTTGCCTCAGACTGTGAGATTTCTAATTAGCGTTCGATACGGCTCCTACTTGATGATGTATAATATAATGAAACTTAATTAGCTAATGGGAAAAAAGCTGCCAAGACCACAGCATTGATAAGTGGGCATGCCCGTGCATACTGTGTTCAGACACACACTCAAGCATACACTCGCATACTCTTGAGATATATATACGTATTCCATATCACTAACCGTATCACACCTAAAATTTTCAATTGACATCTATTTTTCATCAAACAACACTCTGAAGGCGTTTCCAAAAATCAGGCCCACCCAAAGTGTCCTTTACTCAAGTCTCGATGGCAGCTGCAGACATTGTTTACTTCAGGTTGAATTGTTCTGCCTGTCACTCTATGCCACTGGCATAGATGGGGCAAAGTGAACTTATTTATATTCGATCATACTTTATGATTTATTTACGAGGCTTCCCCCCTTGCGACATGTTTGTTGAGCCACACGGCGCCTTATGACGCATGAGGACGATTCCGAATGTTTTACTGTGACAAATCGGCAGTGCGGCTGCGCCACTTGGATTGGCTGAGGAGATGGCGAAAACTAATCCCCCTGGTGACTCACACACTCCTCTTCAGCTGTTCCCCACTGGATATATCGAGCCAATAGATGTCTCTCCTGTTACTTTGTCTCCAATCCAAGTAGCGCCGCTGCTTCTCCAGAATAACAGGCCCCGGTGTTATCTCCTCGAGTGATCGTCCGTGTTGTTACCTTTCTATTTGTTCAGGTCTGCGGTGATTACTTTCGCTGCTGGCCAAATGTCAAGTGCTGTTTTTAGTCAGAGGGAAATAGCCGGTTGCAGCGGAGAGATGGCGCCCCATTCATCTCTTTTCCTACCTGTTGAACGTGTCATTTCTCCCTTTGCACCTCTGCTACCAGGTCTCCTTTTTTTGTTCCCTATTTTCATTGTCTCATTCGCATCCCGTGCTAATTGGGAAAGCTTGCGGCGATGCTGAAACGCTCTGTCCAGGATGAGGATTCCGTTTTGATCGATACTGTGGGAAAGACGACTTTCAATTTGTTCAAAATGGAGAGCGACGTGAGTTGTTGCTATTGAAAAGATCCGATTTTAGGCCAGGCCACGTACGACTCCACTTTAGTTGAATCTAACCAGTTTGGATTGCGCGGGTGTACGTCATGTTGTGCAAGAGTGACAAACTCTCAGAGGATCCCACTTCTGGGCTTTTGGCGGTGTTGAGACACCAAG